GCTAGATAGATAGATAGATTTAGATAGATTTAGATAGATAGTTAGACCCATAGACACATAAATAGATAGATCGATCAATCGATAGATAGATTGATGCATAGAAAGATAAGCCAACAGATATAGTTAAACCCATAGATTTAGTTATAATTGCGCATGGGGCAGCTTTCCTGCTTCAAAATCCATTTTCATATCATCGCCATATCAGCTTTTTTCCTCCTCCGGTGCTATTTCTAATCAAAGTCTACACCAGCAATTTTTTCCTTTATATGATCTTCTTGAATTCTCTGAATTCATTTAAATAGTAGAAAATTGCTCTGGCCCTGTTTTCTTTGGAAAGATTAAAAATAAGACTCGACAAAATCTCAGTGGCTCGTCAGTGGCATTTATTTTGATAAGGCCGGTGCTTCCATTCTGAAAACATCTCTGCCTTTGGAAAGTAAAAATATTTCAAATTATAGTCATTTTACAAAAATTGCTTCAAGTAAGCAAAAACTACAAGGCTTGAAACCCCATAATTTGTGTAGATTTTGCCGTTGCTTTGAAATTCCGAATCCTTTCCCATTTACAGTTTACGTTTCACAGAACATTATTACGTTTTTGGCTTGATCCGGGAGCTGCTGTCAGGCGCTTTTGATTTTGTAATTTTACAAAGTATAATAAACACTGAAAAAGTCATGAAATCTCCTCCGCATCCTGAGCTCTGTGGTAGGGAAAATGTGAGAAAATGTGAACCTAAAGCCTTGTTTGATGATCTCGCATAGCAAGTCTGCCTTCTGGAAATAATTTTTGGAGGTTGAAGTGCATGGTATTAACAGATTTAATGTGGCTATTCAATGGATTGGTGGGATAGCGGGTGAAGTTTAACCCTTTGAATCCTACTGGGCCCTGGAACCCTCCCTCTAATTCCTCTCAGCCATACAGAGGTTAACGGCAACGAGCCTGTTTAACCAATCAGCGAAAATTCCATCTGTGAAGAATTATATGTTTAATTAGTAAAAACAGGCATCTTAAAGGACCTCATTAACTAATCAGAACTCGAATTGGCATGTCTTAAATTTACATCAGAGGAATCTGTACTTGTTTTTATTGAAAACTGGTCCACTGTGCCAGAGGCAGACACTGCTCTGAAGGCTGTCACCGAACTGCAGGGCACTTTTGTTTTGTAAAAAATAAAAAAATAAAAATACAATTAATACATTTCTTGTTTTTTTCATAGCATAAGCTCTTTTAGGTCAAAGTTTAGTTTTTTTCTCAGAACATGGAAATGGTCCATGTGTCTATCACTTATCAAGAAATAAGTGTGGGATCGTTTTAGAATAACACATACAGTGGTGAAAAAATACATGTCAGCACTAAGCAGAGATGTATTTTCCCTGTCTATTTTTCTTTGCCTTTCTTCAACATCATAATTTCTTACCACGGACTAAGAGAAGGCAAATGGGGGGAAGAAAAAGCATGTGAAGTGTAGCATTTTGTAAACTGTAACTAATTTTGCTCACATCTGTGTCTAATTGTTGTCTGACTTCACATTCTTACGAGTCCATTTATTTTCTCTGGGCCACTCTGTGGATTCAGCTGACCAGCCTAAGTGAGGATTAGTTGTCTTAAAGTTATTTTGATTAAGGAGTCATTTTTTTCTTAATCTGGTAACACATAACACATGGTTTAAATACACTTTAAATACACTTGGGTACCTCCCTTTATTTTGCAAAATACACCTAAGTAGCATTCTTTTATATCAGCCTAATACTATTATTAGGACTTAATAGCAATGGTTGAGATGCTGAGAAGTAAAATTATGCCTGGCTAGCTATATTGCACTTAAAATGCCTAATTTCTATCTTTTGTGCTGAGATCATCAAAGAGACGTCAGTTCAGGTTGAATGGAAGCGCACATCAAAGTTTCTGGATGTAGAATTTCAGACAATACGTTCCGGTTGCCAGTGAAGAGTTTGTTTGTGCTTTCTAAGCCAAAAACCTTTCTTCACCTTTGGGCCTTATCACCTGTTTGCAGTATACACTGCCTGCAGTAATGCATATCATCAACAAGCCTTCCCAGCAAATCCTGCTATAGATCCCGTCTTTCAATCAGCAGGATAGGAGCAACATGCACCAATCCAGAGTCCCCTTAACATGAGAAGGAGAAAAAGAAGGCTGCATAGCTCTGTCATATTATACTGTACACAACTAATTTGCAAACATGCTTATATAAATATACAATTAAAATTGACTCATCCCCTGTATGAAAGGAAAGTTCATGTATGGCTTCCCCGCTGTCCTGATTAAACGGCATACAAATTGTGAGTTGTTTACATTGAAATGTAATGTTTATGCCATGTGCGGTTTTCGGGTTTTGTCCAATTAGGATGAGAAAAATAGAGGTACTGTACAGATGCATGGGGCTAATTTGTAAGGCCATTCCTCCATTTCCCTGGCAATTCCAGAAATTGACCTGATAGACTTTGAAATGCCCTTTACCAAATGAAAGAGGAGTGAGATGATAAGATTAGGATGCTGTTAAGAGTTAAAGTGTCAGAAGGGGGGGAGGTTGTATTCCAGACAGTGATAACAAGAGAGGAGAGAGTCCTTGAGGATGCTTCTGTGGGTTTAATGCTTCAGCTACTTCTGTTTAGCAAGATCATTCTGCTAATAGCTACCTTTCCCAAGCACCTTGCCCTGACTACCTTACAAAAACTGCTTTGCATGTTGATTGGGGGAGGGGTAATCCATTTTGCAGCTGTCATAGACCAATGATGAATCACTATCCTTGCCATTTGGCTGCCTTCCCCCTGACGGGGAGAAAGAGGAGGGGATCTGCAGGGAGAATCCACAGTTCAGACTCACTAACATGAAGACAAAATGACTTTACTGCCACAGTGTCTTCTTCTGCATGCAGTCAGCCTAGTATCAGTCTAGCAAGACAGTCCTACAATTACCAACGCAGACTCAACCCGGATATTAAAATAACACTACTTGTATGTTGTGACTTCTAGGTGTAAAATAAAACAACTTCAACGCCTGGTCAGATGTTGCGGTTTCCCCTTATCAAAGGTAAGGGCTATTTTGCTTTTCTTTCATAGGAAATACTTTATTTTCTTTCTGTTATTGCTTTTCCCATGTAGTCTGTTTTCATTGCTTTGCCCCTATAGTCTGAGAGAAAGAGAAAACTTTTTTTTTTGTTTTGCTACAGTCAGCACAATTTTTTCTCTAATTTTTAAATCCAGCCTTGCCTATGCATTTGCAAAGAATCTGGTTAAATCAACAACATAATCTGGTCTATGATGTATGGAAATAAAAAGGTGTATTTTTTTGCTGCTATATCTTTGTGCAATTTGCATCAGTGTATATCACAGTATATTTACAGTAATCTGATTTATACTATAATTTGGAGTGCCATCATTTAAACTGCACTTTAGGCATTACCATCTATCCGCAATTAATTTTATATATGGCAATAATAATAAATTATTATAAACATAAGACCAGAAGCAATAAATCAACAGTTCAGTTAGGCCTTAATGTTATAATTAGGCTGTCGTATCCTTTCTAAAATTAGACTGACAGTAATAATAACCTTTTTATAAACCATTTATAAACCCTACAGCCATTTATAAAAAGTAGGAAAGGCGGTGTAAAATGATTAGGAAGTCAGTGGCTAACAGTTTCATTTGATTTATTTTTGTATATTGTTTTTGCTTTTAAATTTGTTCAGGAAATATAAACAGAAATATTTGTTCAATTCTTTGTAAACACAGGTAAATATATTTACTTTTTGAATGCCGTCTGTAATTCTTATAGCTCATTTCTAATATGTACCTTTGAAGGCTTTGTTTTATTAGTTGCTGATGGTTTCTTGCTGGTAGTCTGTGTAGAAAGCATTAAACACTTTGGCTGGAACTCATTGTTGTGCTCTAGCTGTGCCTGAACAGCAGATGAGCTGATCTACTGTACTAAAGCAGTTTAAAGTCTGTATAGATTCCTTGTATGTTGGCCTTATCCCTTTTCAATTGGGCACGCTTTATGTAATCCACAAAGCAAACAACTGAGCAAACATAATAATGTTTTAATGCTGCATTTGTTTCAACGGAAACACAGGAACAATTAACTAGTTTGCCAGAGTAAACACGTGCATCATGAATACCCCTTTTTGCTGTCACAGGGCTGTAGGCTACATCAATTGCTTCAAGTGTTTGCAGACCCTTTAAAACACAATTGGATGATAAATCATGGCAGCTTGTGAGTGCTGAGTGCTAATTCAATGACAGTAGGCTGTTTGCACTAATAGGCTGATAATGCAGATAATTATCTATATTAGAAAGCACAGTCAGGGCTAATACAATGCCATATTGAATGTGCTGTGTTGCATTGGTCACGCATTAATCTCATCAGTGAAGCATCTGATTATTAAATAGCTTTTATAGCATATACAACTTTATTGGAAAATGTTTTATCAGGATATGTTGCCAGAATAAAATGTTTAAACCTTCCTAATGATTAGGAGGTTATTTCCTAAAAGAGTAATTTTTATTGTGACCCAGACTGCTCATGTTTGCTTCAAAGATTCCATCAGGTGGAAGAAATTTGTATTTGTTTTTTTATTTTTTTTGTTTTTTTTATTTTAGACAACTACAAGTTAATTAGGATAGTCCACTAATTTGAAGTAAGCCATGTTTTTTATTTTCTTTTTACTGAGAAAGCTCTGAAACGCTACAATAGAATGTGTCTTAAATATAAAACCAGTGCTAAACTACTAAACAAAGAAATTGTTGGTACTTTTATAATTCACGAGGCTTATAGATTTAACCGTAAGAGCAAATCTTAGCAGAGAGTCAAATTCTGTTGAGAGACAATTGACATGCTGTGTTTTTCTATGCTCTGGGGCCTGGAGCATATGGTGCAGCAACGCTCTAATAGATTGTTTCTGCGGTGGAGAAAGGGGGAGACTGAGCATGATAACTATCCATTGTATTCATGGCTGAATCTGGCTTCGTTTCAGGTCTATGGAAATGCAGGATCTAGCTAGTCCACATAGTCGACTTAGTGGCAGTAGTGATTCTCCCAGTGGGACAAGTCTTGATAACTCACACATAAACAACAATTCCATGACACCAAATGGCACAGAAGGTAAGTGGCATGAAACAGCTGGATTTGATTCTTTGTCCGTTTAATTACATATGCTCTGGTGTCTTTAGCAGATCTTCCTGTTGTGTAAATAGATGAATAATATATAATAAAGCAATAATTATCATATAATGCTGCATATTAGGGATGTTGATTAAACCAGGGCTTAAAGTGAGTAGGTTAACTTTTCAACTTGGGCTGAATTCATTTTATTGAGGGATACATTTGCTAAGATGCAAAAAACATATCTGTTTAGTGGTTGATTTTATGTTTTAGATTGCTGTGAACTGTATACCCTAATGAAAGTATACAAGAACATTTTGCTAACTATTAAATGACTACAATATGTCACCATGCCAAAGCCTTCATTATTTACCAATAGCCTGGGGCCTCATTCAGTTTACATTTCTATACATGCTTATGCTAATAAGAAAGAGGTAGAGGAGATTCATGCAGCACAAAAAAACAGCTATTTGACGTGTATTCTGCATACTGTATTATTTAAAGTGTATATTTGCATATAGTCAATTCATTTATACTAAGGGGTAGATATCTTCAATCAGCCTAAAACTGGTGTGAAGGTTTATCAGAGGTACAAACCAAAACATCAGTAGAAAGACAATGTTGTGTTTTTAATGTGTATTCTCATGTTATTACATAGTAATAATTGGCCTCTCAGTTTATTAGGGTTAATTGCACATTGGAAGTATCTTACATTGACACCATAACAAATGTATTGTCATAATAGCCACTAGTCTAATGTATGTTGAAGGCAAAGCAAGATAGGGTGTTAGTAACATCATTGTCATGCTGACCATGCACTGTAGGTGCTTTTTGGCCTGCTCTGACGATCCTCTTTTGAACCTAGTGCTAGACAAGTTAAGAGATATACCTAGAGCATTTATTTTAATTGAATTCATAGTAGGTAAAGCATCACATAACCCTCCCATGTCACATGTGAATATGAAATGTATAGTTGGTGGAGATATTTTGCTCTTGTTATTGGTTGGGTTGAAGCCAGACTTAATAGATAGTAGAGCAAAGGTCTATAAATTAACTACTGTTGACTCTAGTATATTTACTCCTCTGTCTACACTTTGTATGTGTTGTTGTGCCAGAAATGCCAGGTGTCCAGCATATATCAATTTATAAAGCACGTTTGCCCTCATTTGTTTATGGGACCAAATATTGCTAAGATCAATTCAGCAGCAGTGATGAAAAAACTTTACTATTGATGAATCAGTAAAGTATTGGAAAAAACTGCTGAATATTTATAGGCATTCATAAACTTTGTTAAATAAATATGTTTGTGTCTTCATATATTATAGATTGGGCTTAAATATATCTTAGAAATAAGATGTATGAGACCGTTGAACATGCACAAATATACTTCTTATATATACTAGTTTACATAATCAGTCATTGCATGATTCTCAAAGCAGCCGACTCAGTCCACTATTTACAGATGGACTTTTACCTGCTTACCCTGAGTATACTTTCAACTGTTTAAGGAACTTAACTGATACCTTAATATGCTAATATTTACTATCATTTTCAGTCATAAACTATCTACACTGCTGAGTACATATTGTCCATTAAATTGAGAGTAGTTCTTACAAAGTAGTCGAGAATATGGAAGTGTTGGCTGTTAGGGTAACTTGTTCATACATAACATGTATAAGTATGTAGCATCTACTAATCACTGCCCTCCCTTACTAGAGATGGTATGTTTAGTATGAAGTATTTTCCTGTGTTGTAAATGGGCTCAGGCAATAAAAGATGCCTGTGCTCCCCATGAAACGAAATAATATACTCTTAGAATTGTTACTTTTATGTATTGAAATTCCTACTAACTACTGAACTGAACTGAACTGGTACTAAATTGAAAAATATAGCAGTTGCATGTTTGGGTGCGGACATATGTAGATCTCGGTCTTCTCTGCTCTTCCGTGCTTAACTTCATAGAGCAAACAGGTACTTGTGTCATTCAATTTAGATCTAGTGACCTTGGCTATGTCACTTAAAGGGGGGCAGCAAAAGAGAGAATACTTTATGCACCTATTTAGTCTTGTTTAAAGAGAGGTTGCAAAGAACAAAGTTGAAGCACAGGGCGCCCTAAGTTATAGCATCCAATCAGATTTTGCGTGAGATCACTTAAAGATGAAGATATATAGTCCAACTGATTGCAATGGGTCACTGCACTTTGCTCTTTGATTTGAGTAAGTCTTTTAAAACCCCAATGTATTGTCTGCAAAAAAGAATTGGACTTTTTGGTTTGTTTTTCATGTTTATGAGGGCATAAAGTTTAGAGTTGTCTCAGGCAATCTTGATTTCCATGTATTGGATTCTCATTATCACTATAATTCAGACAAATGGTCAGCTTTAATGACCTGTGAGAGCAGATGTTTTTCACATGCAATTGTCCCTCCTGCACAAGCAGGGACCATCACTTAAAAATACTGCTGTTATCATAGACGCCTCTGTATAGGAATAGGAACTGGATTGTAAGTGATACTATTCTATGAAGAGCCTTATCACTGGAAAGATGATTGGGGTTGGGGGGTGCCGTGTCATATAAGAACAGATGTTTACATCAGAATTCTTTTTTTTTCTGAATGTCTTTTCTTTCACTCAGTGGACAGCTCACATTTGTTAATAGAAGTGTATGTTGAAGATTTAGTTAATATGTTTACAGTATCTTCTGACATTACCAATCAGTTCTTGTGAAACTCTAGAAAATTGTCTACAAAGTCTGCAATACCTGAGCAAACATACATCTTCAGTGATCTTTCCTCTATGATGGAATAGTAATATCCATGTCTAATGTTCTTCACCTTGCACAGCTTTTACAGGATTCAGTCTAGCCATGCTGATAACATTTGTTGCAAGCTACAGCACTGCCATGTTGTATTTTACCAACTGTCTGGCCTTTATGCTTGTCATCATCATGCTCAACTCCTCTTCTACTGGTTTAACTGGTTTGCTGTTTTACATACTGTATATATTGACCGTCATGTAAGCACACCTATCTTTTTTTCCTTCCACTAAGTTAATGAAATACTGAAGACAATACAAAAATAGTAAACATCAAAAAAAATGTCACATGTGAAACAAAGGCACAGTATTGTAGATGGTAGAAATCACCTTTATTTTCCTTTATTTTCATTTTCATGCTGCTATCACTAACGTATTAAAGGTTTTCCTATGTAAACCTTAATGCATAGTAGAAAGCTGCCATGGAGTCCTCAATACTCCTCTGTGTCTGGATATTAAAGATAATTATTCACAGTATAGTAGATTTTTATATTTGAATTGTCATTTTAGTCATTGTCATATTGTCATATTACTACAGACAGTTACATACTTAGGGAAAACATTTTGATTTATCAAGTGAGTTTATCTAGTGAGTTCTCAGTGTTACCAAGAACTCTATTCAAGGGACTTTAGGTAACCAGGTTGAAAAAGCGACCTTTACACTTGAAAACATGCTCTGATTTCTAGTTCAGTTAGCTATTAAAGTACAAATGTACTAAGCTTTGGTGTGCTTGATGAATAAAACTAGATGTGTCCACTATAATTCCCCCTATCTTTTTGGTGTTAGCCAGTTATTCTACCATAAAGCTTTTGGTTTAAAGATGACTCATGAACATCAAAAGCAAACCCATGTAAACACAGAGAGAAGCGCCATAGTGCTGGCTCATTTATACAGTATATGCATGCTGTATATTTTTTTAACTGTTTTTCCATTTGTAGGTGATATTAGGTTATTTATTTATTTTATCTTTTAGCAAAGCCCTACAACTTACACCTTTTGGTTAATCATCCCTTAAACAATACATTACCGCTTAACGGAGATCAGTTGAGAGTTTACGTAGGATGGTCTGAGAAATTTTGAATAAACTATTATTATTATTATACATGATTGATATAGCTCCAACAATTTGCACAGAGCTTTACGATATGAGGTAGATTTTACAGTTACTATGCAATGCAAAACAGGATGGTTAGGAGGGCCCTGCCAACGAGAGCATATCTTCTCATTGTGTTACTTGTTTAGACATACAGCTAGAAGGAAGAAGGCAATGTACTCCTACTCGTTGTTGCCATGTTGGTTTAGTAAACCTATGTCAATCAGGTAGTGAACTATAAATCTATGGCCTGCTTATCACTCTGCAGGAACAAAATTGAATGTCTGGGTTTGATTTTTCCATCCATTTGATATTGTTCCTCTGGGAGAAGTATGGCGGCAGGGTGTCTGCTTAGTCATGGACACTGGCAGTATGAGCCAGAGTGTCCATGACTGTCCAGAGTATGAGTATCAACTGCTGTCACATCATGCACGCACAATCCAAACACCATCTTATGTCTATGGCCAACTTAAGAGTAGGCTATCACAGTGTATTATTCATGCCACAATCATGAACAGCCTTGAGTGTTTTATTGTATTTTACATAACGTATTTTACCATATCTGTCAAAATAATATAAAAATTAAAGGAAAATGAATGTACAGAAATCAGTTATTTTAACAGTTTATTAATCCTGTAATAAAATAAAGAAGAATTTAACTTTAATATAATTATTTTCCTTGAACTTATCTATCCTTATAAAGCCAACTTTTAATGAGCTTGAGGTTACTGTGACATCTCTAAATGACTAGGACATGGATAAAATGTCTCAACTTCCATTTATTATACCACATAAAAGATCTCATGTAAATAGATGTAAATCAGCCATTCAAGTGAAATGACCTCCATTGTAAAATGTTTTATTCTTACAGCCAGGTTTTATATAGAGCCTTCATATAAAAATTCCACTACTTTAGATTGTATCTTAGTCATGCTGTACGCTGCTAGCCCTGGGAGTCCTTGCCAGCACATAACTGTTCTTCATTGTTTCAAAGATAGAAAAACACCACAGTTCAGTCAAAGTTGAATTTTTATTATATTGCTTATTTTTTACAGTTAATTGCTCCTTTGCTAGAAATTATTTTTAGCCTGGCTTTGCA